TAAACACAAATTTCACGAAGTCCTGTTCCACCTACCTGTCCCTAGCAAATTTCGACGGCAACATCTGTACGACGACAAAGACGGACTGCTGAAAGGTTTGCACACAGTATATAATAAAAATTCATATAAAAATAACAATTATTAACTCTTTTACATAGGCTACTAAACCTAAAATAAAAATTTAATATCTATTTATTAAGCTGCTCCAACTGAAATTTCTCCGAATCTGCGATTTCATTAACTTGGCAAAGAAGATTTGAACGATGAAGATGTGAAAGTTGTAGGTTGACAACTTGAGATGGTGATGGCATTTTTGTATAACGTGACTTTTAACCAAACATATTAATAAATTAATAGGCTTGATATCAAAAGAAAACCAAACAACTTAATAGGCCATATTAACTTGAGAAAATCACCCCACCTACAATCCCTTGCCTAAATAATATCACATTTACAATGATATAAAACTTTCATCAAAATTACAAACTGCTTTAATTATTCGAAAACAAATTGGGCTGATTTTTCAGAAAGTGATGTTAGTGATATTTAATTATTCAAAATTATTGTTAGTTTCAAAAAAATAAAAACACTCTCTTACATGAATATCGAGAAACGTGATTTCATGCCTTTTCCTCTCTAAAAAAATTTGGTATCACTCTCACTCTCTCTCTCTCTCTCTCTCTCTCTCTCTCTCAATACAGGAGAAAAATTCCCTTTTCCTCTCCCAAAGAAATACCGATTGAGCGAAGAAGATTTGAAGAACAGGAAAAAAGAATCTCTCTCTCTCTCTGAATATCTCGGCCATAGTTTGTTTCATATGCTTTTCTTCTTTGCTTTTTTATTCGGCCTCGATTCTTGTGGTTTCGAACAAGCCAACGAGGCGACGATCCAACACCACCGTCATCTTCTAGCCATGAGAATTGGAGAGCTTCCCACACCCGCTGAGGATACCAAGTATTATTTTGAACAAGCCGAGATGTACCTGGGGCAGGCTCACTGACACATGTTTATCTAATTTTTATTTTTAGCATAAACGTCTGTTGTTTTATAGAAAATTGACCAACTGTAAATTCTAACATTTCTATGATTATGCACATGTTTATCTAATGTTTATTTTTTGTATACATGTTTATTGTTTTATAGAAAATTGACCAATTGTATGTTCTACAATTTGTATGATTAGGCACATGTTTATCTAATGTTTACTTTTAGTATACATGTTTATTGTTTTATAGCAAATTGACCAACTGTATCTTCTAAAATTTCTATGATTATGCACATGTTTATCTAATTTTTATTTTTAGTATACATGTTTATTGTTTTATAGCAAATTGACCAACTCGATGTTCTACAATTTGTATGATTAAGCACATGTTTATCTAATGTTTATTTTTAGTATACATGTCTGTTCACCAACTGTATACGTGTTTTTTTTGGGACTTCCATGTATGAATATTAATGCTCTTATTTTGGATTTTTAAGTTGCACGAGCAGAGACAAAAATATTCTTATATGTACGATTTATATACGTTTGAATTACACTTTATTTTATTCAATACAATTATACAATTACACGAAAACAAACAGAAAGTAAACAAATATAAAATAAATGTTAAAATTTGGTCATATTATTAAAACTTAAAATTAAAGCATAGCACAATTTATACTACAATTAACCACGGGCTTTTCGGATTTGAACATGTCTATAAGGTTAATATTAGAGAAATGTCAGATCATGTTTATCTGACGTATATATACAGTATATTTGAACATATATTTGGACTCATTTAGAATTGTGTATTATGTTTTATCTCGTAGCGTTGTTTATATATTGTTTATATTATGTATAACTATACGGTTAATTTAGTTATACCAACATATTTTATTAAAAATCCACTCAGTTATATGTATATTATTTATTTGTTGTTTATTTATATTCCTAAGAAACATAAAAGTAATCAAAAAGCAGATACGTAAACAACCATGAAGGAAAGCTTATACGTACAACTTATGTATGTTTCTAATGAGTTGATTTCGGAGAATTAATGTCATAATCAATATGTGGAGAGAGAGAGAGAGAGAGAGAGAGAGAGAGAGAACGGATTTCGGCGTCTTCTTATTAATAATCTCGTAGATTTAATTTAAAAATTTACACACTTATCCAAATCTCATTAAAGTTTGCTCCATCTGTAAATATGTAAATTTACATACAATGGTCGTTATGTATGTAATATTCCCTATTAACTTGGATGCATAAAGCTAATACATGACATGGGAAATAATCAAGCCCACACCATTATTACAACAAATCACACCCTAAAGGTAAGTTGGTCAATACACATATATTATGTGGGACCCATTCACCACACATTTTCTCTCTCCTCACCCTATCTCTCCACACCTCTCTCTCTCTCACACGCGCACACACACACACACTCTTATTCACGGTGATTCACGCAGGCACACACACGGTACTCTCACACAGCCCCATCCGTCGCCTCCGCCCACCGCCACGCTGCCGGCCATCGGCACGGACAATCATTACCAGTGCAACGTACTCCACCCTACACGACACCACACCACACCACCCCAACCCCCTCTTTCTTCGTCGATCAGACATTGCATTAACTTCTGCCCAGCGCCCAATTTTCAGCCCTTCTACACTCCACATCACTGCAACCGCCAACCCAAACTGCCGCCGTCTGCCACCCTCTAGTGCCGACCACAACCAGATATCAGCCACTGTGCGTGGCGGCACGGTGGAAGTCGAAAATTGCTCCAAACTTGGAGCTGGCGAACAAATCCCCAAAATTTGTAAAAAACTCGAAATAGATTCTCTGCAGTCCATATCGACGACGCCGCTGCAGGAGCTATCGAAGATGACCTAGAAATTCGTGCCTGTGGGTCGAGAGGTCATTAACATAGATGTGTTGAGGGGTTGAAATCGTCAGGGGATTGAGCACCAAAGATAGCCGATTGATCTTCGATTCTATCGTTGCCACCGCCGTCGGATGAGAAGGATATCACGCAGCCAGCCCCACGCGAAGCTCTCCTGCGGGAACATCTAATTGGAGATGGAGGAGGTTGTTTGGAAAATTAGATACAACAGGGTGACTTATAATATATTACACTTTTGTATATGGGTCACATTTATAATTTATAAAAAAAAATACTAAATGCACAATAGTAACAAATAAAGTACATAATATTAGGGGTGGTCACTGTCCGGTTTTAACCGAAAAAAATCGACAATCCGGACCGCGGATCGGTTAAATGGTCGGTTCAAAGAGCCTTCCAAAATCCCGTGGTTAATTTTTATAAAAATCCAGAATAATGGATTACCTGCGGCCAGTGTTTTAAATAGCGGCTTTTCGCGCGCTACATAGCGCGCTATAGCGCAAAATTCACAGAAAACGCGCTGAAGTGCTAAAAATTTAGCGCAGATCCGGAATAGCATACGCTATTGGTGACGTGGCACGCTTTTGTTGCGAAATTGTACGCTATGTACGCTATTACTCAGATTGCAGACGCTATTTGGGCCATGAACCTTTATAAGCAGAAAAAAAAAGAAAGAAAGAAAAGTAAAAGGGCAAGCAAGTGGCGACAGAAACAAAACCCTCGTTCACTTCTCAGCCTTCTATTCATCGCCTTCTTCTCATCCTCTCCCCTGCATCCTCCACCGCTCCCCTGCAACCTCCACGACCCACTACAATCCGGCGAAAGTAAAAACTTCGCCGCCTCAACGTCTCCATCTAAGCCTCCTCACAAGTTGATTCTCTCTCGTCTTTCACCTCTCGCCCGGCTCTCGGCACCTCCAAAGCCCCTGCTCCCAGCTCTCTCTACCTGACATCCGCTGCTCCTCGGTTGACTCCATAGTCTATAGGTAACGTTTTGTTTTTCACTGGAGATTAAGAAAGTGAAATTGAAATTGGGCCTCTTTTTTTTTGGTTTATTAATGTGGGAAACTTAAGATATTGAGTATAAGTTGTTTCAATGTTTGTAATTTTGAGATTTGGCTAGGATTTTTGTAGCCAAGTTGTATTTTTTTTTTCTTTTTTTCTTGTGATTAACCTTGTGAAGTTTTATTAAGAAAAAAAAAAGAAAAAAAAGAAGAAGAACAGCAGATGATAAACTTGAATTTGCCATTTTTTTTAACTTGTGACCAGATATCTTGTTATCCATGATATATAAATCTAAATTATGAGTCTTATTAATGGGAAATTTTCATTATTATTAATTTCCATTTTTTTCTGTATGCTCCCCTGTTTTGACAATTTAGCTTGTGATCCAATTTTATGTAGTCAAATTAAATTAAATTATGCAATTTACAATTTTTGGTATGGGGATTGAGATTTTCTGTGGGTCTAAAGCTGCAAGTATTTATTGAAGTCCATTTGATATTGTTTCTTCATGCAAATGTGACACAGTGCCAATGAACTCAATTAATTGGACTTGCCCAAATTTATGCAAATGCAAACTAATAAAACTGTAAATAGACTATAATATTTGACTATGAGTATATTTTTATAAATAGATTTTTTTTAACTCTTTTTTCTGTCTAAATATAAATGAAATTCTGAGTCTTATACAAGTTGCAAATGGTATGTTGAAGTTTGCATTTTCTAAAAAGAATCCCAAGTGTAATCTCTGAAAGGATAAATAGATATTGAGTAGAAGTTGTTTCAATGTAATTTTGAGATTTGCCTAGGATTTTTGTAGCCAAGTTGTGTGTGTGTTTTTTTTTTTTTTT